TTTGGCCTTCTATTCAAAAGTAAAAAAAAAAAAAAGGAAAACTTTAAAAAGAAGAGAAATCAAGACAGAAATAGAGGAGAGAAAAGCAGTCGATTGATAAACATTGATTGCACAATGAAGCAGATTCCCTGGAAGAAAAATCAATGAGACAGATAAAGCACAAGGCAACTGAACCAAGGTCAAAAGAACAAAAAGAGAAAACAAGAGATTCAGGACTGAAATGCAGACTCCACTTCCGGACAAGACGAGGACAGGGAATTTTACACGGTCCTCGAGGACGCAAAGGCCACCGTTCAAAAACGTTCCCTGAGGAAGTCCTGACACTGACGGGAGCGGACAGAACCTCCACAGGGCGCTGCTGCAGAGGAAGACCGCAGCTGGCACACGGGGCAGCGGGCTGGTTTTCTGCTGAGGGCCAGGAGGTCCCACAGGCTGGACATTGTGCCAGAGAAGTTTCAGCGTACCCCAGAAACACAGAAGACACAGAAGACGACGCTAGCGGATCTAGCCTGGTGGATACGGGGTGTGCACCAAACCCAGAATTCAAGGAGCTTTCGGGGTGAGCGAACCCTCAGCGGACGGCATCCCGACGTGCTGACCAGGAAGGCCAGGGCGCCAAAAAGCACGGCCAAACTTAAGACACACGCAAGACAGTGTAAAAACTTAAAACACGTGGAGAAGACACCAGGTTCTTACAGTGGGAAAGCGCTGCACTATACTATCAAGGCAAACGATTCTCCCCGAATGTGTCTATGGGTTGAACGTAATTCTGAATCCCAGCACGGTTTCCTGAGGGGATGCGGAAGAAGAAGACATGACCTGATTTTTGTGAGGATCATGAAGAGCCGGCCAGCCTGGGGGGGGGGGCGCTGGAAAAGAACAAGGGAGACGGGGGCGCCGAACCTCCGCAGAGCTGCAGTGACTGACGCTGAGGGACACTTAAGTAGTGATGATGAGTAAGGAGATAAATAGCTCACAGATAACTGGCAATTTAGGAAACGTTCTGAGGTATTTCGAACCACCAAGGAAGGTTACCTTGACTTTATTCTGTTGTCTAACTTTCTAACTTAAACGCTAATCCATTTCTTTTCATGGTCAAAGGCTACAATTTCTTCTCAAGTACAGCTTTGGCTGCACCTCACAATTGCAGTGTATTTACACTATTTCTATTTCTGTCTGTTTTGCTGTGGCAGTTAAACCCAAGAGGCAGGCAGAAAGGAATTTTGGTATTTCCAAATGGTTAGGCTTTTTATTTCTACTTTAAAGAATTTATCTTTTATTTCTAGTTTTACTGCATTGCTCCCAGAGAATGTGGTTCAAACTTCGGCTTCTTTTTTTTTTTTACATTACAATTTTTCATTGTGCCCAGTATAGTCAATTTTTATAAGAGGTGTGGTCCCTATTTACAGGGCATGACCTTTAAAAGCTAGTAAGTGCTTCTAACCGGAGGTGCTCCCCAGAACTGCCCGGAAGCTCACCACCTTTTACCAGTGGCTCTGAGCCCAGGGGTGTGCGTTCTGAGCAGCCCCAGGGGTGAGCCTGATGTGGGCACGTGGCTGAGAACTGCTACCCTGACCACTGTTACGTTCTCTCACTCCCACCCACTTATTTTTCATGTCTTTGCACTGCTGAAGCCTGCGAGACCATGGTTTTCTGCCCTCCGGCGTCTTTTCCAGTATATTCCTCTGACCCTGACCGCAATGAGGTACAGGCATATTCATGACCATCAACCCTGCAGAATGGACAGGGTCACCCAATTCTCAATGGTTTTCAGAAATGACACTAAGTTTAGACAGAAAACCATAAATGAAAACACATGCCAACATAAAAATTAAACCTGTAAAACACCCAGAGCGATTAAAAATCTCCCCCATTAACAATTAGAAACATAAAGTTAGGAAAAAAGCTGCAGTTTGCATCCTTTCTATAGAACGCGTGTTTGCAAGTCACTAAGAGCAAGAGACGGCAGGTGGCACAGGACCCGGGAGGCGGCAGCGCCGGGTGGTCGCCAGGACGGTCGCCGAACTGAGTTCCTGCTGCATCACAGGTGAAATGGGGGGGGGCGACTGCCCACGTCACCGACCGGGGAGGGCCGAGGTCTGGTGCCCGGCACACAGCGCTCAGGAAACCCCAATGTAAGCTGTGCTTGGTAAGCGTCGTTAAACAACTCATCAGGTTAACAATGGAAAGAGCAAACTGCCGATATAGCCGCCACTCGGGTGCATCTCCAGGGAATTAGGCTCAGTGCCAAAATCCAGTGTGAGAAGGTTGCCTGCCATGCAGATCTACCTACAGCACAGTCTTGAAGTAACAAGACCCTGGAGATGGAGAAACTGGGGACACCAGGGTCGAGGGGCAGAGGGTGGGTGTGACCATGAAGAGGCAGCAGGTGGGAGGGCACGCAGTGGGGGCTTAACAGCACAACCTGCAGGATAAAAACCGTGCACAGGTGCTGGTAAAGCTGGTAAATAGAGTAAACCCTCAGCTACACTGAGGTCAGCGCTCAGATCTGGTATTATGCTAGATGTGCAGCATCTCCCACTTGGGGAGGGGTTTACGGGACCTCCCTGTGCGTTTCTCTGCAACTTCCTATGAATCTATAACTAGTTCTACAATGATTTCAAAATGAAAAGTCAATCCATTCCAAAGAAAGGTAACGGAAACTTCATCAAAGGACTCACGGCCGATCAACTTTTAGAAAGATAATTCCCCACTTATTGATCAAATAAATGCCTGCAGCATATTCCTTCCTGGCTATCCCGCAGGAAGGGACTTGGAAAGACCCAGCAGGCTAGGGGGCGGGGTACCCGAGGGACATTTCCACCGTGAGCACAAATCCACAGCCCACAATTCCGCTCGCAGAGACCGACCCCAAGGGCACCACTGCACATGCCCGTGTGGGCCCAGGGGCCTCTGCAGAGACAAGACTGCGTGTCAGGTTTCTGACCTGGGCACGCATTCCATCTACGATGACACAAACCTAGACAGCTTGGGAAAAATTAAAAATATGAAGGCATCTGCTTTGCCCCATCAGTGAGCACTCCCTGACCACTCCTGTGGCCTGGGCCCCGTAGCCTGGCAGAGGGCGTCCCAACGGCACAGGTGGGGAGAATTATTCTTGTCTGAAAGGCTCCCAACCCAGGTAACAACCAGAAAATCCATGTCTCGTGCTGCATCATCTTTGACGCCTCCCTGACACCATTTTTTAAAAACAAAGATGGTCCAGGGTGCCTGCAAACCCCCCCAATGCTCAGTGGAGACCCCTCCTGCTGTGGCCTGAGCTGATTTTCTTGTGGAAAGTGCCCTCTGGATGAATTTAAGAGAAGCAAGTTGACTTACAGGAGTACTAAACACTAGATCAAGATGTACCAGGAGGCGTGGGGCAGACTGTGGCTGGTGCCTCCAGGAGCCAGCATGGCCCAGCTGAGAGGAGGGTGACCCACCTTACTGATGACGAAACTGAAGCTCAAGCTCAGAAAAGGGCTGCTTTCCCAGGCCCTGTCCTGCTGACAGACGGCCAAACCCACCGCAGTCCTGGGGTCTCCAGGCCCACCGGGGAGGAGGTGGTGGGCCCAACTCATAGCTGGGAGGTGCCCCCAAGGCCACCCCAGGTGCTGCGGCCCCTGTGTCTGGGGCCAGGATCCCTTCCCCCATGAGCCCGAGGCCGTGCTCACACTGCACCTTATGAAGCTCCCACACACCCACGACTCGCTGACTCCTCTGCCGACGGGGCACACCCGTTATGAAGGTGGGGACACGGAGACTCACATTCTCATTTGTCACAAGTGAACAGCCCGCCTCGTGCCTGGAGTGGCATCAACGGGGCCCTTCAGCTCGGGCCTTGGGACTCCCGGCGCCTCACACCACACCCTGCCTGGGGCTCAGGCTGGCCTTAGCCGAACTGGCAAAGGGATTCCCCAGCTGTGTGTTCAGGACGGGGGCTCCCAAGCTGGACGAACTGCACCGTGTCCCTCATGGACGAGGAAACCGAGCCCAGCACACAGGGGGACAAGGAAAGACACTCCCCATCCAAGGTGGTCGGGGCAAGGCCCAAGGCGCAGGCCAGAGCTGCAGAAACTACAGGCACTCCATGGGCAAATATTCTCTGGAGTCCCACTCTGGCCCAGTCAGGCATGGGGTGTCCTCGAGAGGCACATTTCCTAGGGCCACTCGGGGCTGCTGACCCACACAGACACTGGTCAAGGGAGGACGCCTCCAGGCAAAGGCCCAGGAGCAGACAGTCACCCCCATGCAACCTCCTCCAGGAGGCCCCCCAGGGCCTGACCCTCCACCTCAAGCAAGAAATGGCAGTACCCAGGCCCTGGGGGGGCGGGGGGGGAGGTGGTGTGTGTGTGTGTGTGTGTGTGCGCGCGCGCGTGCGTGTACACACATGCAGGGTCGCCCGTGGGGATTTCCACACGTCAGGAAAGACTAGCCAGGCCTGCAGCCACTTCCTCAGGCAGAAGGGAAGGCCAGCACAGGACAGCGGTGGGGGAACAGATGCCTCCCAAGGGGAGGAGGGGTGCGTGAGCACAAGCCACCCTTGGAAACCCCCTCCTCCTGCAGCCAGAACCCACTGGGTACCCGACAGAATCCAGATGCTGACTCAACGGCAGAACCTTCCATCCCGGATCCCAGAGTCACAGGGACCCCAGAAACATGCTGAAGTCCACACGGGGCATGGGAGGACCTGGGGACTCTGACCCAGGCGGTCTCCCCAAGGGGCTCCCCCAGGTGTCTGTCTCCTTTCGAGCCTCTCGGCTCTGCTCAAGCCCACCCCCTCCTCACCCTTGTGAGCGACAGGCTCCCACACGCCCAGGCCCTGGCCCCACGCGGGAGGCATGTGGTCCCAGGCCCCTCACCCACCCCCACCTGCTTGGCCCGGGTGCAACCCCTCAAGACCCCTTCCCCTGGCGCCCTGTCCACAAGCCTGTGTCCAGCCGCCAGCCCCACCCCACCTTGCAGCTCCCAAGGGCACAGCCCAAGGCAGTGGGTCCTACCTGAGCCTCCAAACTGGGCTCCAGCCAGGGAGGCCGGCCGGCCCTTCCCATTGGCCACCGGCAGAGGGAACATCTGTGGGAGGGAGAGAAGGCAGTGAGTGTGAGGCGCGGGCTCCTGTGCCGGCAGAGGCCCCAGGCACCACCCCAGCCTGCCACGCCGTGTGGCCCTGCTGGTGCCCACCAGCCACCAGCCGAGCCCCGACACAGCTCCGGCGTAGGGAGTGGACTAGGCACCCAACGCGATTCATCTGCCCTCTGGAGCCATACGGTTATCTTTAAATTCCAGCTTACAAGATAAAAGAGTTTATTTGTACTTGACAGGCAGACCAACAAGGATCCCCAGTCAGGCCTGCAGGCCAGCCTGGAACCACCTGCCCTGGGCCAGGCCCTGAGGGACAGGGATCAGGACAGGCTGGACTCTGTGCTCAGCGGCCGCCTGGACCACCCTCACCACACCCACACGGGGCAGACACCAGCCTGTCCAACGGAAGGGGACACTGAGGCTCAGGGAGGCGGGGGGCTAAGGGGACCAGGGAGTCGCTGCAACCCCCCACCTGACTGGGCAGTTCTCCGGGGCACTGAGTGCGGGGCCCTGTGAGCCACCCTCCCTCCCTCCCTCCTTACCCGCTCACCCAGAGCCGTGGTGCTAAGCCCCTGAAGTCCCAACAGCTCATCTGTGTTCACCAGGAAGAGCCAATGCTGACAAACCCTTTGCTACAGAAGAGACCTGCACATGCCCGCCTTCCCCAAGGGTCTGGGTTCAGATCCAGCCTGGCGACCCAGTGACTGGGAACGGGTGCGATTGAGGCCGGAGGCTCACTGGGGAGCAGCTGACAGCCCCCCAAAACCTTCCCCCAGTCGGCCAGGAGGTGAGGGCACAGTGAGTGGACCCAGAGTGGCACCAGGGGCCCTGAAAGAGACCCAGGAAGTTGGGTCTTGTCCCCAGGCCCCATTCTCCAAGAGGGGAAACCGAGGCCTTCGCTCAACTGGGCCTGGCAGGCAGACGAGCAGAGGCTCCCAGGAGGCATGGCGCCCGGGCTGCAGGCCGGACCTCTCGTGGGTGTGACTGTGATCATTCACCTGGCCCGGCCCCACAGGGCCCCCATCTCCAAGGCGGGCCCCACTCCCACTAGGGAAACAGAGGCCAGAACCAGGGGAGGGCCCGGGTGAGCCAGGCTGGGACAGAGCGGGCCCTGGGCTGGGGGTCAGCAGCCAAGCCTCTGCCGGGCATCTGTTTCGTCCCGTACTGCACCAGGGCTCTGCTGACGTGGCACTTGCCACAGGGGGCACTGAGCCGTGTCCTGCGGGCGCCACAGGCCTCGTGACAGCCAGACAGGCCATGAACCCCCGCAAGCCTCAGTTTTCTGGAAATGGTCTCAGGGTCCCGACCACGTGGGCCTCTCAGAACACACGCGCAGCTCAGAGGGGCGCCAGGATCTCGGCCCAGCTGGGTCAGCCCGGTCACAGTTGGTGCCCACCCACAGCATTCCCCACGCACCCCTCGTCCCCCAACTCAGGGAACTGGTGCCCGCCACTCCTTTCTGACCCCAGGGCCAGGCCAGACAGGGCTTCACCAGCAGAAGTTTGCTGTCTTTCCTGACACTTGCCTCCCCTACTTTATCTGAGCTTGGCTAACAGAAGCCACCCCCCGACCCTGAAAAACAGCAGGTCATGTTAAAGAAACAAAGGAACTCCGTGTTTCTGGGCAGGTGAGAAGAGGGAAAGCAGGGACGGGGGCTGAAACGGGGCGGCCTCTGGGCCCGACTTGGTCAGGCCTCTCTGCTACAAGCAACAAAAGGGGAACGGAAATCCAGTTCCGGGTCCTCTCCAAGGGGAGACACCGGGCACGTCACCCCTCAGCCTCCGGCTCCCCATCTGGGAAATGGGTCACTAGCTCCAAGCTGGGGAGACGTGGGGACCCTCTGGACAGAAAGCGGAGGGGGACAAGTGACCCTGGGCTCTGGGACGGCAGCGGCTAAGGCGCCAGGTCTGAAGCTGGGCCCACCACAGGCCACCCCCGTCCCGCAGGCCGGTCTGTTCCGGCCCAATAGTCTGTGACCTGTCAGTTTAACAAAAAAACAACGGGGCCATGGCCCTGGTTACTCAGCCAAGGCAGAAAAAATAAAACAGGCTTAAAAATACCGGCACAGCCCTTCCGGAGCCGCAGCCCTGCTGTCCCACGGGCTGGTTCTCCACAGGGTAGCTGAGATCCTTGCAGACCTGGGCCTCATACCCACGGAGGACCAATCAGACCGAAAGCGCCCCCTCCCCCAACCTGTTTCAGCCAAACTGGGGCTTGCTGGGGAGCATGGGGGCAGGATTTAGGGACCCACCCACGCACGGAGTCCTGGGGCTGTGAGGAAAGTGACAGCTGGACACCATGGCAGGTGACCCAGGGCACAGGTGGGCCTTCTGCCCCTCGGGGCATGCCCCAGCTTCCTGCCCTGGGAGGACCTTGCTTCTGGCCTCGCTGGGCCCATCTGAGCTGAGTGGCCTCCGGAAGCCAGCGCCCTCTCTGAGCCTCCCTCTGCCCAGCTGGGAAACGGAGACCGGATCAAACTGCCTGTCAAACCCAGGGAACCCCTCCTTCCAGCAGTAACTCCAGCAGCTACAGGGTGGTGGCCGAGTGCTGCCCACAGCGGATGCCCACGCCCCTCCCAAGGCTCCTCCTGCCCTCAGAGCTGCATAACTGAGGCAGCAGACTTCCCCCACCGGCGTCTCTGCCCTGCTGGCTGAGAGTCCCTGCACGGGTCGGGGTGGCGCTGGACACCCTTTTGCGTTCACCCTGGAGCACGTAACCCTTATCATACGCATGTCACAGACCAGAAGGCGAGATGCGGCGGCCCAGAGCCCAGCTGCCCAGGGCTGGGCCTCCCTGAGGAGGCATGGGAGGCTCCGGGCAGCCTCAGGTCCCCCATCCATACGTAAGGCGGGAGACTGGACCCATTCTGCACCTGGGCCAACACTCGGGGTGACAGGTGCCTTTGCAAGCTGACGAGGGCCCTGATGCCCCACAGTGCCCCGGGGGCATAGGTGTGCCCGGCAGAGCACACCCCAAGCCCCACTTGGGGACCCCTCCCACACAGCTGTTGGGGGCTGGAGTGTTTTCAGTAGATGCTCCTTTCCCAGGAATCCTGGTCACGCAGACCTGGGTGGGAGTGGGGGAGCAGCACGGGAGGGGGTCCAGGCTTACCATGCTGAAGTCCAAGAGGTCGCTGAGCTCCTTGTCTGTGCCCACGGGCGCCATTCTCTGCGGCTGGTTCATTCTCCAGGGACACTGGTGGGCGCACGGGCCAGGGTGGGCACCTCAGGCCTGGAGACAGCCCTGTGCGGTGGGTGAACGCAGAGTGGAGACAGACACACCAAGAAACAGGCAGAGGAGAGCTCTGAGTGGCTCTGGCCGAGGCAGACAGATGGGGAGAGGGGCAACTGGCTAAAAAGCCCCTCTAGAAGTGCCCCGAGGGTCTGGGTCTGCCCAGACTGAGCCCCTTCCTGACCCTGGTGGGGTGGGGGCAGAGCAGCCCAGATTTGGGGGCTTGGGTCCCTGGGGACCCTCTCCTCTGAGCCCTCAGAGAGTCTGAACAATGGGGAGGGGGGACATTGTGCGCAAATATAGATTCCCTAAACTCCCTCTGCGACCACCAGGGAATCAAGTTGCAAATTTTAAACTGCGCGCAGGGCAGGAGCGGCCCTCCCCTACTCCTCCAGCACCCGCCCCTCTCCCCGCCACATCTCCCATTTCCAACCACCCCGGGCTTCCTGCTGGCCCCGCCCCCTGGAAGAGGGAGGGGCGGCCTAGGCCCCGCCCCAAAGGAAATTTGGAGGACCCCCCCCCAGCAGCTGTCACGGCACGTTGAAGGCCCGGTCACCCCGAAATTCAAAGCTAAATACTCACGGCGAAACCCCTTCCCTGCTTCACGACTGTGGGGCATGGGGAGGCGCCCCGCGTGGGGACCCCACCCACCAAGCTCCCTTCCACCCCCCACAAAAAACAAACCAACTCAGAAACGAACAAAAACAACCTTAAATTGTCTTATTGTCACGGTATATCCGGGAATTATTTTAAAGCAACTCTGAAAACACCCGTTACCTCCCGGCCCTAGCCGGGTGTAGGGGGGGGGTCCCCAACACCAGGGTTTCCCCCGCATGGGCCCAGGGACCTCCAGCCCAGACTGGGGGTGGGAAATCCACCTGCCGGCCCCTCAGATGGGAGCGCTGAGCACTGTCTGGGTTCCACACACCCCGCGCGGCCAATCCAGCCCCCGGGGTCCCCCGGAGGGTGGGGGCGCAGGGGCGGCCAGAGAGAAACCCCGAAGGCTGCCGGGGAAAGGGTTTCCGAGGTCGGGGGAGACCCCACTTCAGAAAAGGAGGAAGCCCCCGCTTTGTTTGCCCACGAGAGGCGGGGTGTGAAGCGGATGCCCGGCGCGCCCCTCCCCCGCCGAGTTTTCTTGTTTGGAGGGCGTGTGAAACTGACTTTTTTGAGGAGTACGAAACCGCACTTTTTTGTGGGGTATTTGAAACTGATGTGAAGACAGACTAGGAGCGCGGCGGGGGGGTGCGCTTTCGTAGGGACTTGGGAGACTCGCGGGGTGTCACGAGGACTTTGGGGGACTCAGCGAGTATTTGAAGCCACTTGGAGCGCACGGAGAAGGAGCGCAGAACGGGCTTTTTTCGGCCGAGGGGGCCCGGGCGGCGCTCCGAACCCAACGCCCGCCCCCGAGGCTGGCGGCCCGGGGCCTTTGAAGCTGGGGCGCCGCGCGCTGCCGACCCCGCCGCCGCCTCGCCCGCGGTAACGCGGAGCAGATGTTCCCTCCGCCCCCGGCACCGGCCGCCCCTTCCCCGCGCAGACAAAAGGCCTCTCTTCCTCCCCGCGCCCCCCCAGCCCCGCGCCCGCGGCCCTCCCGGGGGAGGAGCACCCCGCCCGAGCGCCCCCGCCCCGCGCGCCTGCGCCCGCAAACTTTCCCAAAGTGCGGCCGGGGGAGGGGGCGCCCAGGCCCCCCGCCGCCGCCCCCGCGCGCAAAGTTGGAGAACAATGCGCGGCCCCCGGGGGCGCACCGGGACCCCCGCCCCAACTTCCCGGCGCGCGCGTCCGGCCCGGCCAACTTCGCACAAAGCGGCGGCCGCCCCGCCCGGCCCCGCTCACCTGCTCGGCGCGGCCCGGCCCGCAGCGCGCGGGGGGCGGCGGCATGAACAACCCGACAAAGGGCGTCCGCCGGCCCCGGGGCGAGTGGACGCGCCCCCCTCCCGTCCCACCGCGGGGCCGCACCGGGCACTGGCGGAGGTGGCGTGCGCGGAGCCGCGGTGCCCGCGCCCGCGTCTGGGCTCGTCCGGCCCGCTACGCCCGCGGCCGCCGCCGCTGCCTCATCTTCCTGCGGCGGGAGACATGTTCCGCCCCCGCCGGCCCCGCCTTCCAACCCCGCCCCGCGGCCCGCCCCGCGCCGCGGATCCCTCCGCCACCGCCCTCCGGCTGGGCACCCCGCGATCCGCGCGCGTGCGCCCCCGAAAGACGGCTGAGCCCCGCGGAGCCCGAGGCCCAGGATTGGGGACCGCCAGGGAGACCCACGACCCAACAGCGAAGGGAAGGGGTAGGGACTATCTTCCAGCGCGGACGCGCACGCGGGTGGGCGTCGTCACCGTGACGCCAGCGGGAAGGACCGTGAGATGGAAAGACAAGGCCGAGCGGCGGTAGCCAATCGGAAGGCGCGCTGGCCGGATTGGCGGGGCCGCCGGCCATTCGCGCCAAGTCCCCGCCCCCTCCCGGCCCCAGCGAGGAAAGAGGCGGGACTCTGCGAGCGCGAGAGGCCGCGAGAAGCGGTGAGGGTGCGCTTTGGCTGTTTGATTCTCAGGTTCGCGTGGCCGCCCGTGCGGCCTCTGCGGCTTGGTGGTGTCTTGAGTTCCAGGGACCGGCGCCCGGTGCTGGGTGTTGCGAGCGGGCTTCCGTAGCCCGGAGGGATCAGGGCCTTTCTGCCTGGAGGGGCGATCGAGGCCGGCTCCGTTTCGGGGTCTGAGAGCTTCGCGTGGAGCCCACGCTGAGCGGCAGACTTGCTGGTTGCCTTTGCCTATCTGGGCCTCAGTTTCCTCATCTTGACCTGAGTTTGGACCGATTTGTCATTCACGGTTGTCCCTGTCTCTACTTAGGTCCAGAGGTACCCCCACCGGAAGAAGAGACGGGGGTCCTGGGCAGAGGGCTGCTCAGCCTCCGAAAACCACAGACCCTGCTGAAGGGGAATAATAACAATTGCTTAGGAAAACAGCACCACCTTTCATGCGTTCCTGCGTCCCCTGTGTCCCAACGAGGCCACCATCCCCCTGGCCCTCGGGGCTCGGCCTTGTTCAGGAGCCTGCCAGGCACACTCCCTGATCCGTGCCCTAGTGCTTGCTGGGCCCTCCGCCTGGAATGCCCTTCCACCCCCACCTGGAGCTTGTGCATTTCCCCGGCTCAGTGCCAGATGCCAGCCTGCCCCAGATGTGGGGCTGAATGGAAGAAGGGGGGGTGGGTCCTGGGCAGAGGGCTGAGGGGAGAAGACCCCAAGGAGAGGCAGCGGGCTCAGGGGGCTCCTGATACAGCCAAAGCCCCTTCTGCTGCACCTGAAGCAGGCCAACCCTCGCCCAGAGAAGCCCCCGTGTGTGGCAGGCTTAGGGAGGGAGGTGGGGGCCTGGAGGTCTGTGTTGGAGCCCCTTATCCCTCCAGCCTCACTGTGACCTTGGGCAAAGTCTTGCCCCTCTCTGGGCCTCAGTTTCTCCATCAGGAACATGGAAGGGCACAGTCCTGGGCACAAAGTAGGTGCTCAACAGCTGCTGCCTGCATCCCCCCCACCTCTCCCCACCAACAGGCCTGGGTCCCTGGAGGGAAGGCTCCCTCAGCCCCCGGTCCTTCTCCGTGGCCCGACCCTGACCCCACAGGTCAGTGCCTGCTTTGGCTTCCCCCAGCCCTGGGGGGATTTCTCAAGGACCAGGCTGGGGCTGAGACCTCCTGGGGTGGCCAGCACCCCTGCCCACCAATGGTCAGGGTCTAAACTACAGAATCAAGTCAGTGTTCTGGGGTGGCCCTCAGCACACCCATCGGAGGGAGGAAAAGATGCATTCGTGGACCATGCAAATACTGGGCATCAACTGGGTGCCAAGTTTAGAGCTGGGCATGGGGCATAGTCCTGCCCTCCCAATGTGGCTCTTTCCATCCACCTATTTGGCTGGCCTGTCCTCAAGCCTGAGTGATGACACCCAGAAGATAGATGAGAAAACTGAGGCTCAGAAAGCTCCTCACGGGGGCTCACACCTGCCAGGAGGCCCTCCCTGCACCCACAGGCCACCATTGTCCTCCCTGGGGAGGCCTGGCGTGGGGCTGAGTCACGGGGCGGAGCAGCCCGTCGGGGCCCCCACTGGCCACCTCCTCTGCCCAGCCCCAGGCCTGGGCGCACCCCGCAAGGCCCCGGCATGGGGGCAGGCAGCCAGTGGCTGGTGCCTGGGGGCCCCTCCAGGGCAGCCCATGGCCCACCCACCCCACCCGCCTGACTGTGGCCTTTGTTCTCCTCTGGGTCCGCCTGCCACGGGGCTGGGCAAGCAGGAGCCAGAGGCCTGCCTCCCCACCTGCTGCTTGCTCCTTCCACCCAAGCCACACCTACTGTGTGCCGCCAGCCTAGTACTTCAGGGCCACACACATGACACCCATCTTCATGTGTCTCACGCCTTCTCTGAGGGTGCGAACAGGCCCCCCACCTTCCGGCTCCTCCCTGACAGGAGGGAGAGGCCTAATCACCTGAGCCAGACCCCCACGCCAACCATATTTCAGGCACATGGAGCTGGGGGGCCTCTCGGTCCATTCAGGCCCCCCACGGACCTGAACTCGTTCATCGGGACCATGCCCCCCGCCCCCGCAGCCTTGGCGGGTCACTCTTCCTGGCTGCCAGAAGGGAGGTTTCTATGGAGCCAGCTGGTCGTCCTGGGGCTGGGGTCTCCCTTGGAAGGGGGGCTCGTCGCCCTCCACAGGAGCTGAAGCAGCCTTACCGCTGGTCACCCCCCAGGCCTGACCTCTCGGCTCTTGCAGTTGTAAGGCAAGGATGGGAGCCCGAATGGGCTCCGTCCCTGTCCCTGCACCACTACTACTTGTCCTGGGGAGCCAGCGGGCCAGGACAGCTGGGTGGGGACTCTGAGAGTGACTGAACCCCAGCCTCCTGTCTCCCACTGCCTGGGCATCAGGTGAACGTCCAGAGGGGCTCTGAATGCATCCCACGGGACCCCGACCTCACTGGGGTGGGTCCCTGGGGCAGTGACTGTGGGGTGTGACCAGTGGGATGAGCCAGGTCAATGGGCAGAGAGGGGCAGCACTCCGGATCGGGGGCTGTGGGGGCGCATTCACAGACCCAGAAGGCCCAGGCGGGCAGAACCCTGAGAAGGAGGGGAGAGGAGCCAAGGTCCCGGGGAGGGGCTGGGCCTCCGTGCTGCGGGCACAGAGGAGCCCGGGCAGGGGTCTGAGCAGGAGGAACACGATCCCTGTGGCCCCCGAGCTGGGCGATTGAGGGGAGGGGTCGGAGGAGGAGAGGGGGCTGGCCGTGGGGACGGTGAGCCGGTGGACGGGGGTCAGGCTTGGGGGGCAGTTGGAGGCTCACCCACCCGGTGGGGGGAAGAGAAGCCCCCCGTTGCTCTGGCTGCGGAGCTGTGGACAGGGGCGTTGGTCATGGTGCCCTTCTCCAAGCGGGACGTCTTAGGGGAAGAGTGGGGCCCAGGACCTGGGGAACAGAGCCAGGCCCCGCCAGGATGAGCTGGATGGAAGGAGCCCCAAGCCCAGGCTGAGTCCCCGGCCCTGGACTGAACTGAACCACACTGACCTTCTGTCCACCAGGCCTCCCCCAGCCCCACCCCACCCGCCCTGTGCCGTCCGCCCCCAGGACTTGTGCCACCTGCTGAGGCTGGCCCTTCCCCCCTTGGCCAGGTGCCCACAGCTCCTGACTCAAGGGCCCTGGGGGCCTGTCCCACCACATTCCGGGGCAGCCTGTGCAAACATGGGGTGCCTCCCCAACGGGGCCCCACAGGTACTGTCCAGCCCAGTTCCTGAGGTGGGGGCAGGGGACAGGGAGCCTGGCCAGATTCCCGCTGACCTCTAACCCACCCACAGGGCAGCCCCGCTGATCTCTGACCACCCTGGGCACCCTGGGGCAACCCCCTCCTCCTCAGGGCCCCCCAGGACCCCTAAGCAGGAGGCAGCAGTCACCCCAGTTTTCAGTCGGGGAGACTGAGACCTAAGGCCAGCCGGGACCTATCCGTGGGCCCACCCTCCTAAGAACCTTCACCTGCTTTCTGGTACCTTCCAGAAGTCGGGGAAGGGTGTCCTGGGCTGTCAGCTCCCTGCCACACTAAGAGGTTTGGGTTTTTGTCAAGGTTGTGGGAAAAGGACAGGAGGGTGACCTGGTCTCCTTGGGGTCCTGGGGGCTGAGCCTAAAATTCCCCAGGCGGCACCGGGAGGTCAGGAAGACGGCGCAGCAGGGGTCAAGGCTTGGGGTCGGCACGAGGGATCGCAGGCCATTCCCCGGCTACGTGCCGAGGGCCACGGAGGGCTGCTGACCACCCTGTCTGGAGCCAGGACCCCGAGCCCAATCCCCTCGCAGCCTCACCTGGCCTCATGTGCCTGCCACCCTCCGCTAGCCTCACACCACCTGTGAGTTTCCAGGCCTTTGCCCTGGCCGGGCCCTCCTCCCGGGGCCCCCTTTATCTCACTGTACCTGGCTATCCCCTCCTCATCTTCCTACAGCCCTCAGCTTGGGTGCTGCCTCCTCCAGGAAGCCCCCCCAGCCCTCAGAGCAGGCCTGAGCCCACCACCCGTCTGATAGCTCCTTGCTTCGCACTGTTTCTGGCCACCCTCTCTCAAGTACCAGATAAACAGCCGCCACCCTCCCCACCCCCCTGCCAGGGCAGGGACCTCGGCCTTCTCTGCACAGTTACCCCACAAGGTGTGGCCCTTAACCGTAGGCCTGGCGCCTGGCACTGAAGGCAGGGAAGGTGTGGCTGGGCTCCTGGCCCTTAGGGACAGCCTCAGGGTCTGAGGGGTGGGGGCCCAGGAGAGGAGACAGAGCATGGCCCCCTTCCCAGCCCAGCTTGCCAACAGAACTGGGGTAAAGCCCACATCTCGCCTGTATGACCCTAGGCAGAGGCTGCCCCTCTTAGGCTTCAGTTTCCCTTTCTGAAATTCAAGGGCTGCGCTAGATCATCTTCCAGGCCCCAACAGCTGCTGACATCTTGCTTTGCTATGTATCTCACTGGTTCTGTGAGGCCATTATGATGCCTGTTTTGCAGATGGGGAAACCGAGGCATGGAGGGACACACTCATCTGATCAAAGGCACATGACTGGGCACATGACCAGGCAGGGGAAAGGATGGGGGTCACCTGGGCACTGTGTGCCTGGTACCATGATGTGCTTCCTGTGTTCAGCATCTCCTGTGACCTTCCACCAGCCCAGTGAGTGGGAGGCTCTGACTGGAGGCCCCAAAGAGTCAGGTGTCTAGGTTCCCCCCTGGCTGGCGTGTGATGTGGCTCTGCTATGTGTTTGCAGAGAAAATAAACAGGTTACACAAATAGGTCATCCGAGAGGCCTAGGGCAGGAGACAGGCTCTGTTCGCCCTCTCGGGGCTGAGGGCGTCTAGGCTCAGGCCTGGCCCGAACTTGTCCCTGTGAAGGTGGAAGTTTTCAAATAGCTGGTGGGGAGTGTGTGTGAGGCGAATCCCTGGGCGGCAGGTGCCTGGACTCAACCGAGCTCCCCTCCCTGTAGTCCTGGGATCACAGGAATCTCCAAAAAGGCTGGACTTGCATCCTCCACACACCTTCTTGCACTCTTTGTGGGTGGAAAAGGCACAAAGCTTTGGAACTATAAAAGGAAAAAAAATATTCTAATTTGACTACGTGAAAACTACACACTTGTGAATTGTAACAGACCTACCTATGAGGTTAGACAAGATGTGACAGCTGGGGTGAAAAATATTTGCAACATTGTTAACAGAAGGATTTGTATCTCTCACATACAAAGAGTTTCTGTAAATCAATAAAAACAACCAAACAGAAAACCAGGCAGAGAAATGTACATTCAAGAAGAAATACAAAAAGCAATTGGAAAGAACAGAGAAAAAGAAGCTTAAAGTCACTCATGACGAAAGGAATGTGAAATATGCAAATAAGAAGGCACATTTTGTCCTAATAATTGGCAGAACAGTAAGATTGGCCATGTCCTGTGATGGTAGGTGTGGGGGACTTATTACAATAAAGAAATTCTACATGCTTCTGAATTGTGCTCCAATTCCAGTCCTGCTAATAAATGTGATAAAAATCATAGCGCAAGCAGGGGTGCTTATTAGAACACAGTTTGTGACAGCGAACGCTCAGAAACAACCGGTGTCTAGCAAGAGGGATGTCTGAGAGGATCCCAACATGGCTTTCCAAAGAATATTGTCCTCGCCTTACAGCAAATGGGTTTGTATGTGCATTCTGAACAACAAAGATGTCTGAGGTGTACTGTTCAGATTAATACAAGTTGGCGACCCACAGTGCCATTTTGGGGATAAAGTTTTTGCAAAGGAAAAAATCGTGTATCGAAAAAGAGCAGGAGGAAATGCCCCATGGGTTCAGCGGTTACTCGGGGTGTGGGGAGGACTTTCAGTTCTTATTTTATATTTAAGAGATGGGATTAGCTGAGAGGTTAGACCTAATTTTCTGTGTACATATGTATGTGTTTTGGTATTTCTTTAACTAAAAGAAAATTCAGTTTTCCCACTCACGGCTGAAGCTGGGTGACCCTGCAGAGGCACGGGATGGGGGTGCGTTTCCACCGGGGGTGTCCACAACCCCTTCTGAGATAACCCTCGCTGGGCGTCCCTGGAGAGGCAGGCTTCCAGCTGCCCCAGGTCCCCCGGGGGGGAGCCCTGGGGAGGCCCCTCCGTGGAGAGACCAGTGCGGTCACCATCCCACGCAGAGCCTAAGTTCTCAGTTCAAGGGGATTGGTGGGGATGCCACCCACCAGGGTCAAGGCTGGGCCTCCCGGCCTCCACGCAGGTGCTGGGCGATGGAGGGGGGGCCCCTTCCCCGAGGGCAGGGAGAGCCCCGAGGGCTGCCTGGGAGGGACCTGGTCACGTGGGGTCACCCGGCCTCCCCTCTGAAGGTCGGCCTGTTTACCCATTTGTGTCCGGGCCAGAGAGTCAAGGTGCGGCCCCGGCCCCTGCGGGCTCCCTGGTTCTTGGATTCTGGGACCTGGTCCCCCCTGCTCTCACTGCCTGGGTGGGGGCTTGTCTAGCCCCTCATGGCTTCTGGGTTTCCTCCCCACCACCAGCTACTGGCTCCCAGGGTAGCCCAGGACCGCTCCATGCCTCACTTACAAGATTTGTAAAATGGGCCCAGAGAAGAACAAGATATCCACTAGCCAGGCCCTTATTCCTTCCCTACCTGCAGCATGATGTGTCGGCAATGCAGGGGCTCAGACGCCCCCGGCCAGAGCTGGGGTCCAGGCAGTTTCTGGAGACGGGGAAAAGAATCTGGAGGCGCAAACGCCTGGAGCCCTGCAGCCACACGGGGGGCCCTTCCTCCCGGCTCCTCGGACACACACGTCTTGTTCCACCTCTGGGCCCCTGCAGCGCTGGCTGCTCCGCCAGCACCCCCTCTCTTCCTTGCCCTTCTGCACCACCTGGTCTGCTTGCTCGGCACCCCCCACCCCAGCTCTGCTAGGGCAGCCCCTGGGCCTGGCACACAGCTGGCCCTCCATGGATGGAGAAGACGGCAGTCTCTGTGTCGCCACGAGGAGACTGAGGCTCAGAGGGGAGGCCCGAGGTCCACAGAGAATGGCACGGAAGCCTGGCCAGGCAAAGGCATTTCCTGCAGCCTGGGGGCTGCGGGGTCCTGGGGCAGCTGGTGGGGCCGCCACAGGGTCTGTGGGCCTGGTGTGTGGCAGCGGCAGCTGGGGCTTCTGGGGCCCAGCCCCCACCCGGCTGCAGGAGGAGGGAGGGAGGCTGGGAGGGAGGCTGCAGCTGGCGGCTGGCTCTGGGCCAGCGCTGAACCTCCGCTGGGAGGGGCGGCCTGGAGCTCC